CATAGACTTTCATCTGTCGTTGACAAGAGGACCCCCGGCTCAGCGAGGACACTGTCCCCCATCCTGCCAATCTTGACCAGTGTTCCCATTGCTTTTCCTGCCCTGAATCCCTCCCTCCTCCATAATCTTCCTTTTTTTTAGATTGAGATATAATTCACATAACATGTATTTCACATAATATAAAATTCACCAGTTTGAATTGTACAATCCAGTGGTTTTTAATATAGTCACAAGGTTGTGCAACTATCAATACTATCCTCCTCTTCCAGAATATTCCCATTATCCCCAAAAGAAATCCTATACCCATTAGCAGTCACTCTCCGTTTTCCCTGCCCCTGGCAATCAGTAATCTATTTTCTGTTTCTGTGGATTTGCCTATCCTGGACATTTCATATAAACTGGATCATACAATATGTGGCCTTTTGTGTCTGGCTTCTTTCACTTAATATAATGTTTTCAAGGTTCATTTATGTGGTAGCATGAATCAGTGCTTCATTCCTTTTTATTCCAAATAATATTCCATTGTGTGATGGATCCTGTTTTGTGTATCCATTCATCATCTGATGGACATTTGGCTTGTTTGCACTCTGGCTCTTGTGAATAATGCAGCCACGAACGTCCGTGTATGAGTTTTTGTGTGGATGTATGCTTTTTTTTTTTTTTTTAGATTTTATTTATTTATTTGACACAGAGAGAGAGAGTGAGAGAGGGAACACAAGCAGGGGGAGTGGGAGAGGGAGAAGCAGGCTTCCCGCGGAGCAGGGAGCCCGATGCGGGGCTCGATCCCAGGACCCTGGGATCATGACCTGAGCCGAAGGCAGACACTTAACACTGAGCCACCCAGGCGCCCCTGGATGTATGTTTTTAATTCTCTTGAGTAAATATCCAGGAGTGGGACTGCTGGGTACCTCTGTGTATAAGCTTTTAAGGAACTGCCAGACATTCCCAGACTCTTCATGGGCAGCTCTGCCTTAACAGAATTTCAGCATCACTGAGAAGCACCTCTTACCCAAAATATTCTCCTGGCTTCTGCCATGGAAGAAATTACTTTAATGGAGCTTAGAATTATTCCCTTTATAATAAGCGTTAAGGTTCAAAATGCAATACTGTTGAGCAAGGGAACAGAGTGACTCAAATTCACACCAAGAGGTAAGTCAGATCTTTTCTCAGAGCAGTTTTGATGAGAGGAAAAAAGAAAACGTGTCAGAATGCTGGGGATCTGCAAGGGGGAAGGAGGCCACAGAGTCTGAATCTGGGGTGGGCTGTGTACTTTTAAAGGGACAGGCCAGCTTTTCCTCTCAAGTACCATAGTGAATACCAGGCTCCTATTTTGCGAATTCATTTATTTCAAATAGCACCTACTGAGCACTGACTTCATGAGAGAACATTCACCTGGACATTTTAGGAGGAATAAGACACATTCCCTGAGGAGTTAAAGATTACGTGGGTTGGACAAGTCTCAGGGCTTTCCTCTGAGATCACGTCACTTCATTGGTTGGATGCCGACATGTCCTTTCTTTTCTTGGAGGGATGCTGATGACTGGTGGAGGCAGCTTCTATTTCTTTAACATCTAATTTGGCAACACAAAATTTGGTAGCCCTATGTTGGTCTAACAAATTACTGCAATATTCCTTGTTTTTTAAAATCCCTCATCCCCACCTCAAAATCTGAGTTTAGAGGAAAAACAACAGGTATTAAGAGACAAAGGCTATTGATCCAACTCGATTCCCACATGTATTAAAATGGATAAAGAAAGCAATGTTGTAGCAGTTAGGATTAACTTAGATAGTGAGGTCTAGGCAGGGAATTGCTTTCTGAGATTCTGCCAGACCCAGAGTTAAGAAAGCCACAGTTGAAGCTTCGGTGCCTCGTTCCTGACAAGTTGGGGAGGGAGTCTTGACCTCACGAGCGAGGCAGCGTGTGCCCATGGCTCCCACTAATCTAAAAGGATGGGACCGAAGGAATGTCAGACCTTGGCTCTGTGCCACCTATTTCTGAGAAACTCTGGTCTTACGTGCCTTAGTTTACCTCTCTGGACCTCAGCTTCCACACTGGTGATGTAACAGCAAGAGCTGACAGGCTCACAGGCACTATTTTGAGGACTTTGGAGATATACATATTTAATTCTATGAGAGCCGTATGAGAATGGGACCCATAATTGTCCCCATGAATTTGCCCAGACTCTCACATGACTGTCAGTGGCAGAGCCGAGATCTGAATCCTAACTGCCTATTGTCAAGGCTTATACCACTTCTTCCTTTTAAAAAATTTATATCTGCATATTCTACGTTAAATTAAGTCATTCATTCTATTACTGGAGTGGTGTGAGAATTTGATACTGAGTAGCACTGTGGCGCTCCCTCACGACGTCTCTGCTCAAGAAATATTGGAAAAGGACGAGAAAGCACATATTCCCATCAACTTGAAATGCCAGTGTAAGTGAATTTAATATTATTATGAGCTGTGCTTGAAATTTCCATCGCTAGCATTAACTTAGGATATTCTTTCCATCTCTACAACACCACTGTGGCTTTAATTTTTTAAATGATTTTATTTATTTATTTGATAGAGAGAGACACAGTGAGAGAGGGAACACAAGCAAAGCAGGGTGAGTGGGAGAGGGAGAAGCAGGCTTCCGGCCAAGCAGGGAGCCTGATGCGGGGCTCGATCCCAAGACCCTGGGATTATGACCTGAGCCAAACGCAGATGCTTAACGACTGAGACACTTAGGCGCCCCCCCGCTGTGGCTTTTAAACAACCTAGATGACATGTTCGAGAAAGAGCTAGTGAGAGCCCGAGGAAAGATAAGGGCCCTTCGGGGAGTGGTGTGCCTCCTGAGACCCTCCCAGGGTGCATCTGAGCTCCACTGGGAACCTTGCCCCACCACCTCCAAACCTAACCGAGCCTGGCTCTTGTGGAAGCAAATGTACATACCAAATGACAGGAGAGTAACCACAGCAGTGCATCCACAAATGTCAACTAAAGGGCACGCCGATTTAAAAAGGGAATATTGATTTAAGGTAAGTCTTGAAGGACTGGTGAAGCATGGCAGGAGATGAGAAATTTTAAATACTTTTCTAATTCACAGAAATTTTTAATTAGTAAATAGTTTCTTCAGCATACACAGTGGAGGGCCATTAATGCTTTTGGTGCTCATTTCAGCATGTATGCAGCAGGTGGGGGCTGCATCGCCATTTCACTACCCCTGCCGCACCCAGAGCGATTCCTAGACACACGTGCCGCCCACCAAATGCACATGGACTGGGGGGAGGATGAGCCAGCTCTTGGTCACCATAAGAAGGAGGTTAAGCGAATCTTAACATCATCACTCCTCCCCCATCTCAACCCCGAGATCCTCCCCTCTCCTCTGAAGGACTCCCTCTCTGCCTACTTCTTGGATATGGTTTTAGGCTCCTCCTCCTGAAACCAGCCTCTGGGGATTGAATTTCCTTGTCCAGGACCCTGTCCTTTATATATTCTGCCGGTCTCGATTCTGAGCTCCAGGCTCTACAACCAGCTGTCTGCTTCATCTCTCCCCTTGGGAGTCCCCTCAGGTATCTCCAACCTAACTTCTCCAAACCGGGGCTTGAAATTGTCCCCCGTCCTCCCATACACAACATCTTCCAGGTTCCTCCCTCTCAATAAATGGCACCATGACCTTCCCTGTTGTCCTCCTTGATCCCCACTTTCTTCTGCCCCCGGCATTCTGATTCACCACCTCGTTCTGCCCCTTTGGGTCCCAGGGCTCACCTCCATGGCTGCACCTGACCCGAGCCATCCTGCTCGGGTCCTTGTTCCCTTCTTCTAATACTCCACAAAGCAGCCACAGTGACCCCAACAATCTCACTCATGGAACCGATGGTCACTCACTGCATTTGGAAGAAATCCAAGGTCCTTGGCAGGACCTTTGGCAATTGGGAGGGTCTGGCCTCACTGACCTCTCTCATGTGTTTGAGAGTTGGCCACTCTTCCCTTACCCATCTGTCCCCAGGCTGGCTTCCTGTCACTGCCTGGGACACGCACAGGACCCTGTCCTCGGGCCCTTATCATTGGCTTCTCTCGGTGCCTGTCACGAGGGGATGGTGCCTAAACTCTGGGTGAGGAGGGGCTGGGGAGGCCGCACAGCTACCCTGTCCTTGAAATCAGTATTCACAGTGTAGCTCCAGCAGGGGGTTCCAACTACTGTGAATTCCCAGATTGTATGCTTATGGAATCTCTTCCACAGGTATGAATTTTTAGAGTTTACAGACCTAAAATGTAAAAGCGCTCATTTCTTGCTGTCCCAAGTGTTATATAAAACAACTTTAAATACAGTTTTTGTTATCAAAATAGCAAACATATCTAGAAGTTCTTGATTAACATTCTTCTTGGGCCCACTATTGTCTAATGGTTATAGAATGAATCTAAAATAGCAAAAGAAAATAGGAAAATGAGCATTTCAGGGAAAAACAATGAGCCAGCCTAGGCACCAGAGTCCTTTCCTTATTTCATATTTCTCATTGCATTTTTTCATCAAGGCTTTACTTATTCTATTAATTACCATCCACTTTCAAGGTTCTAGTCTACTTCTAACATGTATAGGATGATCGCTTATTTAAGTAAGAGCTTGGGTTCAATTGCAGATGTGGATATTATTTTAAAATTTAATTTGGGGGCCCTGTTCCAAAGTGAAAATATAATAACGAATATCTAAGTACATTCTAATTTACAGATATGCCTGTAATTTTATAGAAAGCAAAAAGAGGAACAGAACTGAAAACAAGGGTCTGGGTAAAATGAATACACCTGCTTCTGGTTCTTCCTTGAAACACTGATTCCCGTTGGAGTTTCAGTTTTCCATCTGCCAAACCCGTGCCCTTTTAAAAGTTGATTTCTGCAGTAAGATGTTAATGCTTTGCTCCTTGCACTCAAGAGACTTCAGTGACCTTGGGAGGGCAGCATAACCGAGGGCGAAAGGGTAGCTTCAGAGAGGCCTGGCCATGCTCAGAAGCTGACTTACTATTGTGCGCAGTCAATCAGCTGGTACTCGTTGGACCTCTCAAAGCACGCCTTCACGCCTTCATCATCCCAGAGCTTCTTCACATGATCGAAGAATTCCTAACATTTGAAAAAGTTCGAAATAAGAAAGCACAAGTGTTACAATCTCTTGAAAAGTTAAAAGTAAAAAGAAACTGCCAAAAATTTTTTTGCAGGTAGCGCATGAATTATTCTCCTTGTAGGAATCGACTTCACACACAGGAAAACTCACAGGACTCGAGAGCGACCTGATAAGAAATGGATGCATCTGTGTTATCGTCGCTCGATTCAACCTGTCAAACATTCTTGTCCTTCCAGAAAGTTCCCCCAAATGAAAATTATGAGTCAAAAGTAATTTTGTGGCATTCATCAGCTGTATATACAACAGCTATTTTAACAAAAATTTTAAAGTTCTTCGTACTCAGTCACCTGCCTAGTGGTACTTGTCACTTCATCAGCGAAAAGTGTGCCTATTCCAATGGTAAGTTCTGTTTTAGCTGCTGTCTTTTAAAGTTTCCGTGAGCCATGATTATGAATAGCCATGATTGAGCAGATGGGTTAAATTCGGCCCAGAAGCATTAGGTACATCAGAAGTAAACCTTGAAAATTTCACCCTTTGGGGATACTAAGTCGCTGTTTTCTGGCATTTTCTAACACTATGAGTTACATGTGAACTGTGATTTTTGGTTCCCTCAAGCCCATGTGGGCGCAGAGCTTAATTTCATCCATTATGGCAAGCAGCACCCTCCGAACCAAGAACTCTCCTTCTCTCAAAGTAAGAGGTGGCTTTATGAATTCATATTTCCAAAATTACCCAAATTAAATTAACAGTGGTATGGAAGCAAATGACAACACATCAGCTGCTAAATATAAAAGAAGTTACGTAAATTTTCACAAACCCGTTCATTAGAATATTTATATCCCTTCCCACATTAGTCATCTGCCCTCGCAGCAGCCCCAGGAAGCACCCATTCCCATCTCTGATCTGCACCAAAGGGTCTGGGGCTTCTGACACCTCATGTCCATAGATTTTTTGGAGAAAAAAAAAATAAAGGGCTGATTCTTTTCTTGAAGATTCACAAGTCCATACAAGGGTGGACCTGAGTACTGAGGGGGCCCTCTTTGAAAAAAAGAAACATAAAATCACAAGTACACAATTAGGTACAAAACCTTAGAAGGGGCAGGAGGGGTGAGGGGCCATGAGGCTCTGACATCCTAGGATCAGGGATAATCTTTAAAGGTCTGCCACGTCTCTATACCTATCGTGTGTCTGGCTGCTCATTGTCATCAACAAATCCAAACTACCCACAGGTGACAACGAAGGGGAAATCTCCATATGAAGGAGAGGAGCTGAACCTCTCAGTTTTTGTCTCCCTAGATTTATGGCTTCTTCTGGAATCTCCCACTACTGCTCTTGACACTCCAGTGAGGGAGTTTTTATAGGCTTCCTCAAAAATTTTTTTCTTCTAAGAGCCATATGAAGACAGACAGACAGACAGACACACACACACACACACACCCACCCACCCAAACGAAAAATACTCTACTTTCTATTGTCGAGATGGTCTTGAAAGACAATGTTAACCTCTGTGTCATGGTGATATTTGGAATCGAGCCCCATCTCTCTCCTCTCCTGCAAATCCCCAGTGTAGTAGTTTCTTGAATAAAGTTCCTTACTGTCTTTATCAGGTGTCTGAATCATTTTTTTCTTCAGCAGGCTGAGCTGAAGCCTCTGAGACAGAATTATAGAGGAGTGCTTGAATCAAGAACCAAGATGCATGATTTCTGGGGTCCGTGTTGAAAGCAGTAGTAAAACAGGAATTGTGGGCACTGTGTTTTTAAAGCAGATGCTTTGGACGACACCAAAGGAACATAAAAGCAGCAACAATCTCTGCTTCGGCTTTGTGGTTGGTGAACAAAGACATTGGACTAGAATATAGCTAGGTCTCCAGGATTCTCCATGTTTACTTTTTAAGGGGTTCTAACAACCTCATGGAAAATTTCAGCGCTGCTACTGCCGTTGCTTCTGCCTTTTATTAGAGAAAAATGCAAACTTACAAAAGCAGAGAGAATTCCCCAGGCCACTCATTACTCAGCCTCTGTGTTTACCAACACATGGCCAATTCTCTCTCTCTCTTTTTTAATAACTCATGCCTTTCCCCACATTTGTTATTTTGCAGCTAATCTCTTATGCCATATAATTTTATTTCAACATTACTTCTGAAAGATAAAGGCTCTTAAAAGTCATAGCCAAAACACCACTATCTCAACTAAAAATATAACAACAAATAAGTCAGCCAATGCAGCCTCTCTAGCTGTACTTAACCGGTTGTCCAGAGCCAGGCTAGAATTCTCATGCATTCGTGAAACCAGCTGGGAAATAAACCTGAGGAGTAATTTTGGTATGCCTCTATTAGCAGCTAAGATGAATAATATCAAATAAAACTAATTTCAGTGTTGTGTGTGTGTGTGTGTGACTGAAAATAAAAAAAAGATGATTCACAGAGAAATGTAACCTGCTTTTGACAACTGAGAATATGTAGAAATTGAGAGTATAAAAAGAAAATCACTGATATTTAACTTTTTCGGTATTACTGAATGAGAATCGCCTTGTGATCTTCATGTATTTAGCAACTGAAATATGCAAACATTTGTTACTCTTATTTAAAGGGCCTTGACACGCTATGAATTGTGTAAGAGTGATCAATCACAGACCTGTACCCCTGAAACAAATGATACGTTATATATATATATATAACATATAAAAAAAACCCAGGTATACTATATATACCTTTATTAAAAAAATAAAGGGCTTTGACATAACATAACCTACAAGCTTACCGAGTCACTGAGTTGTATAGCTGAAACTAATGTCATATTGTGTTCAGCTCTACTCAAATTAAAAAAAAAAAACAAAAAACCCAAGGGAGTTTGAGTTGTGTTATAGAAAGTAAAAATGATAATGATACCAAATTTAAACTTACTTTTAAAAAAGGCGAGGCTTTAACATTTTCACAGCATCATTCTGATTTTTCAATCAAAATTTAAATTAAAATACAAAAATGCAAATATCTAACTCCTCCATTTCATGTTACAGCATTTTCCTTCTGGTACTGCAGTCTACATTTCCCTTTCCACACGAAGTACAAAGCTAACCTGGGATTCTCAGATGAGTAACAAGTTTTTTCTTTTTCTTTTAAATTCCTCATAACTGCTCTGAAATGGAAATCATATGACAATAGGAAATGTTAAGAATGTAAATTCTTGCATGAGATCCCTGCTGATGGAACTTTTTGGTTACACTAACAGCCGGGATCTATTTTTCATTTTTGAAATAAGAACCCAAAGGGTATTTCTTGTCTCTGGAAGGGAATGCTGTGAGGTGGTTTGGAGTCAACGCTCTGGCTACGCACGCAGGTCTTGGGAAGAACTGCTTTCACACGCAGTGCGGGTGGAAACTGTCACTAGGTTGAGTGTAAAAACATTCTTCCTCATGCTCATTGCCCGATATTTCTTCTAAGGTGACTTATGGAAAATATCTCGAATTTTAGTATCAGGAGTACTTTTTTTTTGCATTTCTGAAGCAAACGCTTTTATATTTTACTGTTAATGTTTAATCTTCAGAGCCCTGTGGCTCTTCTACGTTTTCATTTACGTCACTGAGTTGACTGCAGGAAAGCTTGGAAGTCCCGTTTTGGGGTCAGTCCTCATGTGTGTGTAGGGCTTGGCCTTACACTCTGGATGCTAACTTCACTTCTGGCCCCACATAACTTATCTCCTGTTCCTAATTCTGTTCTCCTGCATTTTCAGTTATTACCTTGTATTTTATAACGTTGTGAGCAGCACTAAATCCTTCCAGGAACAAGCCGAAGTATAAATAAATGTTTGATGGAACTTTTTATGAGAACATAGTGGATAACGTCCACCACCACAATCAAATAGACCTTAGAAACAGGCAGCTTCAGGTCAGAAGCCATTTATTTACATGGAATTTTCTAAAGCTCAAGTTTAGGTCTGATTCATTTAAAATACATGCACTCAATTTTATCCCTCGGATAACAGAATGATCGAACAGGATTTGTCACTTGTTTTTTCAAATATCTGGTGGATATCAAGTCTGTGTGGGATCTATCATGCCTGCTGACACTGTGATTTTGTTATTCATAATCTCTGTCCATCCTCAAATCTAATTTAATACAGTATGTCTAAAATTCTATTTAGAAACAACTTTCAGAAACTGTTTAAAAAAAGAAACCCAAACATTAAAGTCATTAGCAGTCCCCTCGCCCATGTCTTTCCTCTGACCACCCTGGGCAACCCTCTTAGCAAGTAACTCATATAAAAAGAGGTCACGCCTACCATTTACTGAGCACCTCGTATGTTCCAGGCAATGTTCTAAGGGCCTTATGTACAAGGTCCCATCTGAGACAACCCTGCCTTGTAGGCGATTCAATTCCCATTTGACAGATGACAGAACAAGTATGATTAAGGATACTTTATCCTTGCTCAAGCTCTCCTGGAAGGAAGTGGTCAAACTCTGAGGCCAGCTACCTTCCTCTTCCTCTCTCTTCCTGCTCCCTGCACCCGGGAGACCAGGGAGGACAAAGGCAAATTTATAATATACCCCACACTTGCCTACTTTTTTCCCTTTAGGACAGCCTACTTTAACTATTCTTAGAATCATTTTTAACAGCTTTTGAGGTATACTATATATACCATAAAATTCACCCATTTCTTCATTCAATCAGGCCACCACCGACACAAGCAAGTTTTAGAACACTTCATCATCTCCTTACCCAATTCTTTGGAGCCAAGCCCGGCCCCCAGCCCTGGTCTCAGACACAGTTAATCTTACTTCTGTCCCTACAGTTTTGCCTTTTCCAAGAAATTTCATATAAATGAAATCACCTTGTCTTTCGTGTCTGTCTTCTTTGATTTAGCATGGAATTTTTGAGTCATCCATTTTGTTATGTAAATGAGCAGTTTGTTCTTCTTAAAAAATTGCTGAGTTCTACTCTGCTGTGTGAATATACCCTGTTTTGTTTATTCATTCAGCAGCGGATGGACATTTGGGTTATTTT